AGGGATATGTAGGCAACTCAAGAACCAGGGTTAGACACCCGTTTTTTCAAAACGCATCATTCCTCGCTCAATTCGGACAAAATTGGTCATCATTTTCTTTACCCGATAATTCTTTCATTATTCCCGGGTAAAGAGGGGTAGCTGTTGATACCCAATTTTGCCCTCATATTTTTCAAATAGTATATATACTTTCAAAATATCATTTTGCATTATTACTTACTTTACAAGAGTTATATAAGTATTTTCTATAATTTTTATAATTTTAAAGCTTTAAAATTGATTTTATTGCATTTTAATTACTTGAATATGCATTAATTACCTCTTAAATTATTTTGTGATGACTTAATCATTCAAAGTTATTATTTGCATACATATATATGTTCCATAATATTTTTCTTTAATTTATATAATAGTTTTTTATTTTATTTTTAAGCTATTTTACATATTTTGCAGTAATAGCCTATATGATGTGCATAATCACATTTTTATTATATTATTTGTGCTCAAAATAATATTTTTATATTTTTAAATGTTATTTCAAAACATCTTACTACATAAATAATACTTTTACTATTTGTTAATTACTTTTTATAAATATTTTTATAATTTTTTCGTGTATTTAATTTGCAGCCTTATTTGGAGCCAATTCTGGACCAATTTAATGGCCCAACCATCCAAAACCTCTAAGCCCAATCTCCCCAGCATTTAATCTCAACCCGGTCGGTACCCATTTAAATGACCCACCCCACTCCCTTTTCGATCTTGGTCGTTGATCTCAAATGATCAACGACCCATAATACATCCCTACGGTCCGTCTACGTCTTCCTCCGTGAAAGTGATGTTGTCTTCAGTGACTTCCCGGAGTCTCTTGCTATGGGTTATTGATACCATCGTCTTTTTTGCTATCGGGAAGGTAACCCTATTGATCTTGTTCCCCCCGAAGGTCATGTTGATCGTTTGGCGCTGGGGATCTTCTCCTGCTTTCGAGGGCTCTGCGTTATCACGGTTGCAACCATAGTTATTTTTGGCCCAGTCACTTAAGAATTCTCTAAGATGACTATTTTTCAGAAGTGTTTCCACCTCTTCACGCAAATGTCGGCGGTCCCCAGTCTGGTGGCCATTCGTCCCGTGGTATTCGCACCACAAATTGATATCCCCCTGGATGGGATCAGACCTCATCGGCTTCGGGAACCATGCTTCTTTAATGTTCCTCATAGTTGATACCAACTCTACTACACTGACGTTGAAGTTGTATTTTGATATCCCGGGATAGTACCTGACGTTTCTTTATCCTACAATGATCTACTGTTCCGATCGCGATCAATTTTTCTGTCAATAACGAATCTGTCTGCCGATCGAAAACCTCTGCCGCGTCCTTCTGCCCGTTCGTAGAGAAAAAATTGGCCCCTCGAAGACCGTCTATCTGTGTCAAAATCATCTCTTGATTTTTCCTTAGTCTTATCCCATCCTTTTTCGACGACGGGAAGTCAATTTGATCATCTTCAATCCTTATCTTAGATTCGTACCAGTTGTGGACATCCGCCCAAGTCGTAGCTTGGAACTCAAACAAGCTTTCTTTCAATTTCTGGGAAGCGTCAGAACTTCTCGAATTCAGACCCTTGGTGAATGCTTCAACCGCATATTCATCCGGATTAGCCGGGGGCAACATCCTCTCCTTTTGTAACCAGGTGACAAATTCCGGCAGCAACTCGGACTCTCCTTGTGTAATTCTGAATATGTCTGCCTTTCGGGCCTACACTTTCTGGCCCCGGCATGAGCCTTAATAAAAGAGTCTACGAGCATCTCAAAGGAATCTATGGAATGCTCGGGTAACAACGAATACCACGTCAAGGCTCCATTGTGAGAGTCTCTCCGAATTTCTACAGCAAAACAGATTCAATCTCGTGGGGAGCTAAATCGTTCCCCTTCACCGACATTGTATATGTGGTAATATGCTCCTAAAGGTCTAAAGTTCCATCATATTTCGGCACGTCGGGCATTTTGAACCGCTTCGGGATCCATTCTGTAACGTACTTGGTTTATATGACAACTAAGTATACTTCTTTGAGTCTGACTCTTTCAGCATCGGCGGTGCACCCGGGATTTGGTCCATGCGGGCGTTCACTTCCCTCATAAACCATAAGAGTTCGCTATTGAAGGGATCATTCTTATTATTGGGGCCGGATCCGCTTCCCCCAGCCCCATCGGAGCCAACCTTCGCCCCTCGGAGTGTTGTTGTCGACCCTCTGCGTTGTTTGATTCGTGGGAGCACCGGGAGGAACTGTACCTCATCCATTCACGTTATCGGAAGCCCCCGACAATGCGTGTTTCAACTCCGTCATAACCTTATCCTGCTGTGTAAGATGGCCTAGAATGACCGCTTGTTGCTCTTGTAGGACTCTTACCGCTTCAACAGCATGCTCCTCTTCAGCATTATCGGGAGTCGCCTCCCGAACATGTCGCGGGTACCGCCTGTAGTGGACCGGTGTAGCATCGTTTCCTTCATTGCGGGTGTCACTGATTGAATCCTCGTGATGAGGCTAGTCTCCTTGGGCCTCAAGATTGTGTGTGTTGTTAACACCATTATCTGCCATGTTTTGTGATTTTTTGCTAAGACAAATAATCAAAACACGTTAGTAAAAGAGGCAAAGATCAATTTAATTACACGACTGTCTAGGCCCCATGTTGGGCGCCAAACTGTTTACCCGTTAAACGGCACAATTGAATTTATACGTGGCTTCTAGACAAGTGAATTAATTCGATCCTGTAATAATAAAAGAATTGAGAAAGTATGCAATATTTAGCCTTGATATGAAGATGAAATAGCAGAAATAGTAGTTCTGGGAGCGAGGCTTCCGGGTACAACAGTAATGAAATCAAAAAGTAAGAAGACCAAAATTGTATAGAACTTTGAATAGATTATAGCGTGAGATTGCTAGAAAAATTCGTGTCCTTTACAATGATAACAAAGCTCACTTTTTATAGCTGCACCTAAGGAACAAGGCCCTAGGATCATGTCCTTCTATAGTGTCAATTATGAGGGCCATTGGAGAATGTGTAACGATGAGCATAAATGACAAATTCTTTGTAACGGGCAGTGTACTAAATGTTGTGGAATATTCTCCATTGAATGATACTGGGTGACATGTATTTATTGCATCTTTATGAGCGTCATTCTTTCCGGTGACAAATGAAACAATTGTCTTTCGTTTTAACTATCCTCTGCCTCCGGCTTCACGTGTCACTCTTTTATGCAACCACCTAGCATAGCATATTTTACCCTATACATAACTATAACTCTAACTTCGCTCTTAATTGTTAGAGTTAACCTTTTTTGTGAGCCAAATACTTTCTTGCAATCAAACATCTTGTTGTTGTTGGGGGTTCCAACTCCACTTCGTATTCCCCACCCTATCTCCCCAAGTATGGGAAACAAAACTTATTGCCAATATGGTCCATCTATTAATATTAAGAATAAAAGATTCTCTTACTCCGAATAGTGGTGGCAAGATTTTGAAATGCAAGGAGTTATTAGATCAAAAATTGTATAGATTTGTATATTGAGTTCTGAAATTTTTATAAAAATACAAATTTGAAATATCAACTATAGTAGTAAAGAAAATTAGTTATGACTGGCAAAATAGCAATAGTGCTAGTATTGTACTCCTTTCGTTTCAATTTATGTGAACCCATTTGACTGGACACGGAGTTTAAGAAAAGAGAGAAAATTTTTGAGCTTGTGGTATAAAATGAGACGCATATATTTTGTGTGATTATAAATCATTAAATAAAGGTAAATTGTTTCCAAATAGGAAAATAAGTCATTTTTTTTGGCATGAACTAAAAAGAAAATATTAAACTTAGGGAGTATTTGGAATTGAGTTGCATCACCTAATCACAGTGTGGTATTCTATTGCATTTGCATTGAAATGAGTGAACTTGTTTTATAAAATAAAGTAAGAGTGGATAAGGGAGAGGATGCAAGTGAGTTTTGTAGGATAATTCTCTTCATTTTTTAAATTAAAAAAAAGTAGGATTTCTTTTTTGTTATTTTAATTAGTGAAGTATCAATATCTATCAATCAATCAAATGCGACTCAGTTTCAAAGTATAAAACTTTATTATAACTGAAAATATCGAATTGAAGAAACGTTATTTGGATGAGCTATTATTCCAAGACGTCAAGCAAAGAATTAGTAGCATTGCTGTTGAAATACAAACTCTGTTTCTTTTATTAAAATGGGTGTGATCAACTTTATATTTTTAGAAGGTAAAATCTGTAGTTTTGGTACCTTCATTAAGGAGAAAAAGATAGTCAAATGTTAGGAAAAACTGCGCACTTTGATATAATCTTAACAAAAGTCGATGAATGAGATAACTTTGCGTCTAAAGATGAGAATTTTTGGCTCCTACATGAGATAGCGGAACAGTTCCTTTACAAATCCCGATTAGAGGAGTGTTGTGCTGGCACTCGTGAAAATTGGATCGTTGAAAAAGAAAAAAACAGTACTCCAGGACAATTAGGCAATTAGAAATGTGATTAAAATCTGATTATGCGTCATGTCCATAAGAGTCAAGATGGCCGAGTTGGTCTAAGGCGCCAGTTTCAGGTACTGGTCCGAAAGGGCATGGGTTCGAATCCCATTCTTGACAGTTGAAATATCGAATAATTTTTGCTTCTCCCATATATTTACATGTATCCTCTCTCTCTTTTTTGGCTTTTGGGACGTGACCATCTTTATATCTTTGGGTTTGAAGGATCTGTTTCTCAAAGTGTCTACGCAGAAGACATACTATGCGAACCAATTTTTTTCCGTCTTTAGTTCAGATACATCAATTTTGAAGCAGTAGTCTAACGAGCTAAATATCTAATCTTCATACGTCATCCATTGCAGTCACTATGTAAACTTATAGTAAAAGAAAGCACACCAAGTAATTCTACTAGTGTAGCACAAAACTAACCTCTCGTTTCTTCTAGTCAAACCTAAAGATTACGCAGCATATAGTTAGTGGAAATTCTATTTAGAGAGTGGAAACTATATCGACATCCGTGATATTAACATTTAAAAAAAGAAAAGCTAATGGAAGATGAAAACAAAGTTACTCTACATGGAATGTGGATTAGCAGTTACGCGAAGAAAGTGGAGTTGGCTCTCAAAATCAAAGGCATAACTTTTGATTATGTTGAAGAAGATTTGAGCAACAAAAGTTCTCTGCTTCTCAAATATAATTCCGTTTATAAGAAGGTTCCAGTATTACTTCACCGTGGAAGACCTGTTTCTGAGTCCCTTGTAATTCTTGAATACATCGATGAAACCTGGAAAAACCAACCACGATTCTTACCAGAAGATCCTTATGAAAGAGCCACAGTTCGTTTCTGGGCTACTTACTGCCTTCAGGTTATACTTTTATGCTTCTTTCATTTGTGTTACTATATCAATGTATATGGTACAACGGAAGTCATTTTCTTGAAAAAAATACGTATATATTAAGGATTATAGATTGTTTGATGAAATTTTTTAGGCCTAAAGAATAATAATAGTGATGTCTAGTTATTGATCGGAGCAAGTAATATATGAAGTTGAAAGTTCAGATAATTGTGAGGTAAACAACTTGTGTAAATAAGTATACATTTTGTCGAAATCAAACACCAAAAAATGACTCCGCTCACAGAAAACATATACTAGTATCTTGGAAAATGCCTTCCGTTGAACCAAAATAAACACACATTTATAAAATTTGCCCACTTCAACTTGATTGATTTTAAGATGAAATGATTGCAGATATCAGATACCATGAAGAAAGCATTCATTTCAGCCCAAGAAGTTGACAAGGACAGAGCATTTGATGAGTTCTTTGAGAAACTTCAAGTGATGGAAGAAGGAATGAAAGATTTTTTCCCAGGGGAAAGGTCTAATATCTGCGCTGAGACTATGGGACTTTTAGATATAATAATTGTGGGTTCACTTGGTACATATAAAGCAGCAGCAGAAGTACTCAGAATGAAGATTTTGGATCCTCAAAGGAATCCATTTATATATTCATGGGTGAATACTCTACTTGAGCTGCCTTTGGTGAAACAGACTCTTCCTCCACATGACAAGGTGGTTTCAAGACTTGAGTTCATTAAGCAAAATGGCTTTACGTTTCAAACCAATATTTGAAATGGTAATAGGACTTATCACTTATGGTTTGTATGATGAATATGTTTGCTTCTTGATGATTAACTGTAACTCAATATTGCTTCAACTTCTTAGTGAATCTTAGAACCTAAATATTTTCTGTATTATGAATTGAAGCCTGACACCTGATCAGATGTGTACCCAGGATTTGAGCACGCCAGGGGCACTAATGCCTTTACATATGCCAATTAGTAGCGTCAAAGTTCGCATGCAACTCTTTGAAAACTTAGCTATTATGATAGCTTGTCATCAAAGTACAAACTCTCAGTCGCCGTTGTCAAAGTCGACATATGTTGTTGCTTCATCGAAAGTGATTGAAGGGAGGACGAAGAGTTTGTATTTCTCTACTTGTTGAGAGAGGAGCTACAATTTGGGGCTTTCTATTTTAAGGAAGGGATTTGGAAAAGAATAAAATTAATTAAATTGACTATCAAGCAGTACTAAATCATAATTGAAGTCAAAAGAGATAAATTAATAATAAAAAAGAGTAAAACCAGTTGACCATTAAGTACAGTATAAATTATGGTAGGAATCAATAAAGTGAAGCAAAAACGTTAATAACTTTAACTGCCAAATTTTGATCCCAAATCCCAAAAAGCATGTAAAGAAAGTTCAGTCGTATACTCTAACAAAACTACCATTCGGCCTTTTGTGTTTTTGGGCACCAGTATGATATTAAAGGGGTCCTCTATGTATAATGGAGGATCCGATGTTTTAAGGTAACGGGTGCTCTCACTGTTAATAAGTGCTAGCAAATGATGGGAGGAGTCAATTGATATGGACTGATTGAATAAGTTGTAGATAACACAGATAAAATTTTCGAATCACTCATATTTAATACAGATAAAACATAGATTGAATATCGAAAAATATGAATATTTATATTTTCTTGAATATTATCATTATTGTGAGGATTCCAAACCACAATATAGGCTGTCAAATTTGGTGGTGATAAATTGAATATATTTTCTTTTTGTGCCACAATGAAGAAAGAAACAACGGTAAAGTTACGAACAAAAGGGAAAGCCATGTAAAAGGGAGACGAATTAGAAAGTCAATTAGTGCACTACGTAAGAATCAAACTCTGGATCACACAGAGCGCATACTTAGATTTTGTTTGAGTAATAAGTGCTTACCTAAATATGTATCCACTTCATGCGAAATTGTCTATATAATTATATGTTCGATACCATGGGCAATGGGTGCTTGAGCACCACAATCCTCCATGTGGATCCGCCCATGTCTATGTATAAACCGATACTTATACATTGTTTTTACTGAGACTAACGGGTTCCGATGACCCCTCTACCTCATATCTAGGTCCGTCCCTGGGCACCTCCAAAAACAAACTTCCCACCAAAGCAACATTTATTTTTTCCAGATTTCTCAATCTAAACTTTCAGGATCTAAATTTCATCTCTCTCTCTTCCATTTTTGAAGCTGGTGCTCTGAATCACTATCAGTTTGATTTGTTGAACGTAATGAACTTGACTCTATCACTGAAAAAATTATAAGCAGACCAATTCTTGTGTATGCTAGTTCAATCCCCTTTTTCTTGCTCTTTAGTAGCTCACTAAAAGGAGCATTCTTTTATAAAGTGAAAATGAGAGTTCTTCCTAATCAACTAGGGACAATCCCTTTTGAGATACCACTAATTTCTCCAACTATCTGAAAATAACCTTTCAGCTTATAATCTACATAAGGTACCCCCAAGTCAACTTCCATGTATCATGTTCCACAATGTCATGTCTACCACGCAACAAATTTATACTTTTTTCATAACAAGTTGATAAAGTGCTTGATTAAATTCACCAACTTGCAGCATTAGAGATAAGAGAATTGACTAATCCCATATTCCTACTGCCATCCAGTGTGAAGTATGACTTAGTGCCCACTTTGCAACTTAACAGCTCCATGCCCAAAACGGAGAAACCTGATAAGCCTTTTTTCCTCAGCGTGACAAGTCAGTTAATATAGATCCAGAAGAAACACCATTCATATTTTCATGGGTGACTTAGTGTTATCAAAGGCGTAAAGCGCAAAAAAACTCTAACGTCTGCGTCTACTGGGCTTTAAGCGCAAAGCGCAAACAAAGCGTGAGCTTTAATTTTTTTTTAAAAAGCGCAAATGGAGAAAAACTACAAATGTGTAGTGTGTAGTCTAAGACTAATATCTATAAGCATAAATACCAAATGTACGCACAAAGAAATTGAAGAAAATTTATTATAAAATAAAATATCAATTATTTAGCGTCGCCTTTTTAGGATTACGCTCATTGGTAAGGAAAAATATGCCTTAGAGCCTTGATGACAGCATTGAAGCGCCCCTAAGCAAGGCGAAGCGCTCAACACGTTTTGAACCTCGCTTTCGGGCTTAAGTGCGCTTTAAGCGCGCCTTTGATAACGCTTGGGTGACTGCACTCAATGAACTTCCTCTGGTGAAGGAGACCATCCAACCTCATTCCAAGATGGTGGAACGTTTCCGCTACGCCCGTCAGAAAGCTCTTCAATCGATTTCCTAGCTCATGATGTTTGTTATTTTCCCATGAAGGTGAAGATTAGACCTTTTACCTTAGGTTTAATTTGTAGACTAATTTCACTCTGTAGTATGCCTAAATGAATAAAGACACATTAGTGTTAGGAGTCCAAATGTTATAATTGGCTTCTTGATATTTAAACTGATAAGTTTGTCTTTTGTATTTTGATTGTCACACCTCCTTTTTTCCGAATGGATATGGAAGTTTTTTAATTAAAGTGATATTAATTGAAATGAGATTATTTAATTAATCAGAGTCGCCACTTGGGATAATTTATGGTGTCCCCAGTCACCGGTTTATTTTAAAATCCCAAATCGAGGAAATTGACTCTATTTTTGGTCCGCGAAACACAGAAGACCGAATAAAAAATTCTGTTAACGCGGGAGAAGGCGTGAGGCACTCCCGAATTCCGTGATTTTAGCACGGTTGCTCAGCTATTAATAATTGGCCTAATTATCTAATTTATTACATATTTTAAACCTATGGTGCATTGTTTTACCCTTTAAACCGCTTCTGGTATTTATGAAATTTATTTGAATAAATCGCGATGTCGCGCACTCATATGTTTTTATACACATTGCGAATCGCGCGACGTGAAATGCACCCGCGATTTATAACATGTTCATTTTTATTATTGTTTGAAGTTATGGTCGAGTCACGTGAAACGCACACTCGGATTGGGGATTACGTATCATGATTATGCCACGAGAACCGTACCCATAACCACGATAATTTATTATTAATCGCGCCTAAAACAAACTACGATGTTTGTGGTTCTATTGTCCTAAAATTTGGGATTTTGCTTGTGAAGTTCAGATATTAAAGAGTTTTGGTAGTACATATGCCAGCGAATTACTACACAAATTTGTAAGGAAAAAAAATTGATTCTACAACTTTAAACGGTTAAAGCCTTAACGATGTGAACGCTTTTAACGCCTAACCATCGTGATTCGTGAATCTGTAAAGTGAATTCAGGCAGAACATTAATCCTTATTGGACTCATGCTAACTGAATTAATCCAATGACATATTTATGAGTTCAAAAGTTAATGAAAGCACAAATCAAGCCAATAAAGTGGATGGCAAAGAAATGGCCAATGGGCCCATCGAAAATTGATGTAAAAATAGCATGGGCTAGCCAATTTTCGGATTGGTCATTCAAAAATAGCCAGCGTTTGTTAAGTCATTGAAAAATAGCCACTATTTTTTAACAACACAAAAAATTTCAGCATAATATACTGGAGATCGGTGCGCATGTGTATGAACTTCCAGCATATTATGCTGGACCGGTATATTATACTAGAACTTCAATATATTATACTGGAAGTCCAGTATAGTTATGCTGGAACTCCAGTATATTATGCGGGAGTTCTAGTATACTAATTCTGGAACTCCAATATAATATGTTGGAGTTCCAGTATACTTATGCTCGAACTCCAGTATAATATGCTAGAGTTCCAGTATACTTATGTTGGAATTTCAGTATATTATGCTGGAGTATTTTTCGGATTTTGAATAGTATTTTCGTTCAAATTAATCTTTATATGAAAAGTGGCTAAATTTCGATTTACTTTTGAAACTGTGGCTATTTTTGAATGACCACTTGTAAATATAACTATTTTTGAATTTCTCCCAAAATTGATCTCATAGGCCCAACTAGACTCTCAATAATCGAGTCCAGCCCGATTCTCCATAGGGCATCAAGGACTACCCCAGTAGGCCTATTTTTCACTACACCAAACCCAATTGTATCAACCATTTAGCATTTCCAGTGACTAACTAACAATTATACTTCTAACAAAAGAAAAATTACATGTGTTCGTTTAGCTTTGTAGTTTGCACTTCAAATTCATACAAGGTCACTTAAAAATGACATGAAGGAATGAGCTATTACATCTGAATCTTCTAATTAAACAATTGAAACACCCCAATGAAGAATGTACTATGCTATCGGACCTATGAATTGAAATACTTGGTCTAGTTACGAACTCAATTGTTTTCTCCTACTTTTCACAACTTCTCAGCCAAATCTCCTCTTCTTAACTAAATTACATGACAAATAGTAAGTAAACCAGATTTTTTTTAAACAAAAAAAAAACCATCTTCTAACATGATAAATATAGTAAACTTAACTTACAACTCAATTTATGTTTTCATCACGGCAAACAAATAGGACATACTATAATGAATATTAACCAATTGACACCAAGGAAACAACAAAGCATGAACACATCTATAAAATTTTCAATCAAACAAAACAGAGTTTATATCATTTGATCAAGGTGATACCTGGATACAACAAGTAAACAGAATAAGAAAATAGATCTCTGAAGTTGGAAATGAAACAACAGAATATAGCAGAAGCAGCAGCAGTAACAGCAAGAAAACAGCTTCAAATCCACTCCAAAATCCAACGAGAACTCAAGAACTACTGAAACAGTGCAATGGAATTCAAAGTGGCTTTTCAACTCTTTTTTTTTTTTTTGGGTTTTTTCTAAGTCTAAATTCAATTTTCAGATTGTTTTTCTGTGGAGAATCAGTGAATGTGTAGGTGAGGA